CAACTCCCGTTGATGTCCAACCACTCGTTCAGAATGCCGTTCAGCCGCACGTTCCAGCATTCCCTCGGAAGTAAAGGGACGTTTCAAATTCCGTTCAATCGTTTGTGTTTTTTGAGAGCTTAATTTATTGAGAGTTTCCATCTCTAGAGCGCTGGTCACCGTAGCTCTAAGAGATGTAAAACTTTCATATCATAACATTCTCCTCATCTCTTCATTGGCCAACGCCGTCACAAACTGAGAGGCGGCCAAACGATCCCGAACATCCATTGGACATTCTGAGAAAGCGTATTGCGCCAGCCCCTCAATCTCCGTGGCCAATGCAGAAATTGACTCCCCTTGCCGCTGTTTATAATTTTGAAATAGAACGTAATTTAGCTTCGAAAAGTTTTTTCTACCAAACCGAAACTCGATTGCCGAAACTATTTCTTGGTAGTCGAAATACTTATCGGCGGGAAGAGAAGTCAGTACTCCTCGAGCCGGACCATCCAACGAAGCAATTAAAGCCGCAGCTTTCTTTGCTTCGTCCCAGCCATTTACATTCGCGATCATTTCAAATAGAATTCGGTACTCATCCCGTGACGTGGAACCGTCATAACGTATCGGCTTCACGGAGTATTCTAATCCAGTTACGAAGCGTGTAGATTCACGACACGCAGGCAACGATGGCACCGACGAGAATGCCGCAGAATTTAAGACAGAATTTCGCAATGACCCCGATAGCACCTGTGGCATTGGTTCTCGATCCTTGCTATCCTCTCTTCCATGCGAGCCTCTCGTTCGGACGCAGCAGCCTGTTCCCGTTCCTCGCGCTGAAGCCTGTCCGCTTCCAGTCGCGCCTCGAACTGCCTCTGCTGCTCCTGCAGTTGCTCGCATAATTCTTGTCGGAGGTTTGCAAACAGAATCTCCAATGCCGGCGTGACATTTCCGATCGAATTTCGATCCCGGAGGAGCCCCCAATGTTACGAATTACTGCGATTCTCTCGCGTCGCGGCATTTTATTTACAATAAAGTACATAAACAATAATACAACTCAATTCAATTATGTTACAGATCTTTGAATTAGAAACGTTGATTGCTCGACGATCCGAACCCGACTCTTCGATTGTCCGTTGATAACACACCTCTCCGTGGCAACCTCTCTTTTCTATTATTCTTTAAGGAGTTGTTCACAACAGGGCAGTATCACATTACAGCGACTTGATTTGGACAAGTCGCCGTAACAATATGTAAAAGTGGCATTATTGCAAGAAAATATCGAAGCTCGTGGATTGGCCAAAGAATTCGCTTTATGATTGATTTATGGTATCTTGCACAATTATGGGCTAACCGACGAGCGCGTTTCTTTTCCCTTCGAGCGGCCGAACGAACGACAAAATGGTTGCCGCGCCGACGTTCTCATGCGCGATATTTCGCGGAGTTTCGCCTTTCAGGATTTCGAAAGCACGGGATTTTCGAAAACTCCTGTTACCGTGGAAGAAAAACGCGGCACGATTTGTAAAAGTTCGCAATGTTCTTTTGTTTGCAACGTTTTTATTTCGGACGCGTAACGAGCAGAGAATTTTATTCTCGAAAGTCGTCACGGTTGGGAACAGCCGGCGGTTTTCTATGACTCTATTTAAATCGATCGACGATATATTTAAATAGAACTTAGTTTGTCGATTACATCATATTTTTGTCGATATACAAAGTATCCCTCAGGTACCGGGTGGGGTAAATAAAATCATTTGATAATAACGAACCGTACAGTTGATCTACATTTGGATGGTTATATGTACAAGAATATGTGTCAAAGTTTTGTTTGACGAAAGTTGACTCAGTCACCAGAGACGAGATA